GAGAGGGAGGTGATGGGGGACACATGGGCACACAGAGGCAGAGAGAGGGAGGTGATGGGGGAAACACGGGCACACAGAGGCAGAGAGAGGGAGGTCATGTAAACAAGTGGAAGGGGATGGAGACTGCAAGACCAAGGGACTCGAAGAGACCACTAGCAAGTGAATGGATGAGTCTGGAGATGAATGCTTAAAGATGAAACCCAGAGAGATCGGAGGGACAGTTAAAAACACGGAGACGAAATTTAAAGGGAGGAGAGAGAGAGAGAGAGAGAGAGAGAGAGAGAGAGAGAGAGAGAGAGAACCAGCCTTACTTTCTCTGCGTCCCCAAGAGTTCTGCCGAGGGCCTGGCATCTTGTTTGGTTTTGGCCAGCTCTCTTGCCTCCTTTATTCCACCCTTGCTGGCTCGTGTCCATCCCTAGAATTTTGACCGATGGGGCTCTCCCACCCAGGCTCCAGCAATCACACAAAAAGTCCCTCCACCGATACAAGCTTCCTGGAAGTGACCCCCGGCCCCTCCTCACCAGCCTCCTTTTTGCAGTTCTGAGTGGGGTGAGAGGTGAGGAATGTTCCCATTCTGCCCTTGTTCACCAGGGGAGAACGTCTCAAGGGAGAAGTATGAAGACAACCAAGAGGGCTTCTTGCCTCCATGGAGTCTGGCCTTAGATGCTCACACTATCCGGTTCCAAGAACCCTCGGGAGGGGTCCGAGGAGAGCTGGGATGGAAAGCTGAGGGGGAGTGGTCAGAATCACAGAATCCTCTTGGTTCCTAGGGGAGGGTGGGTTCCCCTTGTAAAGGCCCTGCCCTCACCTCCCCCACGGCTGCTCCCAAGTTCCAGCCCCAAAGAGACATTTCCAAACCAAAGGGCCTCAGCCCCCTCCTTGGGCCCCCTTCATGACTGCCTTGGCTCTGGGGACCAACCAAAGTTCCCCCCCACTTCCCCCACCATTGCGCCAGATGTGGCTGCGGGGGATGGGTGGGCGCAGGGCCCAGCTGGCAGTGGTCACTTGGTGGTCCTCTCCCTGCAGAATCAGCATTTCCTGTGCCAGCAGAGCCTGGCCTCCTCACTCAGCACTTCCTCCAGCCCGCTTTCCAAAGGCAGCAGATGGGGCAACGCAGTCAGTCCCCAGCCACCAGCTCTGAGTCCCAGTTCAGCACAGAGTCCATCAGAGAGGTCTTTCCTGAGTTGCCTACCCTGGGCAGCTAGAGACAAGGAGGAGAGGGGACCTAGCAGGCCAGTGTGAGGGGCAGGGAACAGTGGGCTCTCAGGGCTGGCCCTCATCCCTGCAGCCACAGAAAATCCTGATGCAGAGCTGGCTCCCTAGTCCCCTCTTCTACAAAGCGGTGGGACACCTCACGGCTCCTACCCCCTCTCTGTTCCCTAAACCCTCTAGTGAGCAAAGCCTGCTGCCGCTTTCTTGTTCTCCCCATGGATTTTTCCAGAACCTAGAGCTTTCTTTGCGGGTGTGCACGTGTGTGGGGGGAAGCATGTGTCTGCACTGTGCCTACACATGTGTGCATGCATTCGATGACCAAAGATGTTGCCCACCTTTTTTAGGGGTAGGGTCTCTTCTTGGCCTAGAACTTGCCAGTGAAGTTAGGCTGGCAAGCCACGAGGCCCCAGGAATTCTCTCACTCCCTCCTCCCTATCACATTGTGCCCAGTCCTTTTCACATGGGTTCTGGGAATTGAACCAGGCCCTCATGACTGCAAGGCAGACACTTTTCTGAGCCATGTCCTCAGCCCCAAATGCTGGAGTTTCAGCTCAGGGTCACCGGATAATGGTGCTCCGTGGGAACACTGACATGTAGCTGACTGAGCACACAGTAGATAAACCTCTTTTAGCCTTGCACCAGCCCTCTAAAGGTCCCTTGAGACTAGTTCCTAGTGCCAGGAACTGGCAGTATGCCCCAGTCACTCAGTCGCATACCTATGTTTTAAAGTCGTGGATGGGGACTGAAGTAGGGTCCGGGCTGGGCAGGGAGCTGCCTCCCCTCAAGATGGCTATGTCCCAGACTAGCCTGGTGGGTCCAAGCTGACATCTGCCCCGTGCTCTGCATCTCCATATCCGGCCCAGGTCCCCTTCAGATGCTGCGGACTTCAACCTTGAGATGCAGAGACTCCTCCCGCTTCTGAGGTAAGGCGCTCCCCCTGCCTGTAGAGAGGCAGAGAAAAACGGTCCTCCTGGGCTCCAGGAAATGGGAGAAAGGGAGAGGATAGGCCGCGCTCTGCACAAAATGAGATGAGAGGATCCCGAGGCTGCATGGTTCGCCAGCCTAGCCTAACCGGCATGTTCTATGCCAGGGAGAGACCCTGTCCTTAAGAAAGACGGACAACAACCTTCCCTGGGCAAGGAGAGATGAAGATGGATAAAATCAAGAAAGGGACATAGATAACAAGGTGCGGGCCACCGTCCAGAGATAATCTCCTCCCTTCTCTCACGAGTCAAAAGGAAGAAAATAGTGGCCATATGTCTGGCTTTGTGCTGGAAACTATTCATAATCCCCTCAGTTCTGCTTCCCAAATCTGCCACAAGAAAGGTTTTATCTGCCCTCCTCCCCAGGTCAGAGGCAAGACTGTGAGGTTGCAAGAGAGCTTACAGCTTCCCTGGGGAGCGGCCAGCTAGGCCAGGCCCCTGGCTGAAGCCATCCTGCGGACCCCAGGGCTCTGGCCTCAGCTGAGATGGCTGGCGGGGCCCAAAGTCCTGGCCCAGGGATCCTGTGCAGAGGCCCAAGCTCTGTTCAGAGCAGAGTTTATTCAAACACAGCCCAACAGGAAACTTGGCTCTTCTGACTCACTCTGATTCGACCTTATTAAGAAAAAAGAAAAAAGAACCAGAGCCAACTCCAGCTAGGGTTTCACGCCAAGTGCGGGCTCCCAGCAGAGTGCTGAGCACCATGGCCTGTGCCCTGATCTCCCCACCCCAAACCCTGGAAGCAGAGAACTGACTCACGCAAGTTGTCCC